TGCTTCGGGGCAGGTGGGGGAGAGGCTGGCCACCACTCGGCCCAGCTGGGCCCAGCCAGCCCTGCACCTGACCCTACAGACCAGTCCAGGGCCAGACCTGGGTGGGAGGAGGGCTCCCTGGAGGTGGCATCGGCTTGGCTCTGAGTACGGGCAGGACTTCACTGGAAAGGGGGGGGAGACGGCCTCCAGGCTGGGCCCAGCTGAGCCAAGGTGTGGAGGTGGGGGTAGGGGAGGCTCCTGCCAGGCCAGTGAGGGAGACAGCCCGGTGGGCGGGGAGTGGGGAGGCCGAGGCCGAGGCGGGCCAGTCCCCGCTCCCCTCCCCAGCTCGGGGCGCAGGTGTTGGGGTGAACGGCACAGCTGGTTAAACCCAGGCAGCCTCGGGCCTCCCGGGGGGACACTGGCCTGGTGCAGGCCGAGTTCAGGGCTCCGGTGGCTGTCTGCGGTGAGGGGTCCCCAGCCCCAGGGGTAGAAAGCTCAGGGGGCCTGGCTGACGCTCAGTCCATGCGTCTGTCCGGGAGGCACTGAGATCTGGTGGCCCGATGCCTCCGAAGCGTCTGAGGCCTGTGGTCCTGGGGTCCCGGGAGGCCAGGTGGGGCCTGGAGGGCTTCCCGGAGGGGGTGGCCAGCTCGCTGGAGAGGCCAGGAGGAGCAGCCGGGGACAGGCCTGGAGAGGTGAGGGCAGGGCTCTGGCCTCACTGCGCCTGAGGCCCCACCCTCGGCTCGGAAGGAGCCAGGAGCTGGTTCCCAGAGCCAGCCTGAGAACCCTAGGCCACAGAGGGGGCGGTAAATTGCTCCCCGGTGTCTGCCGGGTGGGGTGCGTGGGCGACGGGAGAGGCTGCTCTGCAGTTTCCCTCCGGCCCTGAGCCCAGCGCGGCCTCTCTAGGCGGCTCCGCGGACCCAGCCAGGCTGCCAGCCCAGCCGGGGCTCTGACCTCCCGGGGCTCTGACCGCCTGGGGCTGGGGACAGTAGCCACGACCTGCTTGCCCACAGCCAGGGGAACCTGGGAGGTGGGGTCAGAGGCCGTGGGGTGCCCTTTGTAAGCCCCCAAAGCCCTTCCGAGCCCTCTGGGGGGCGCTGTGTGGGGACCCTGGGATGTCGCGGCCACCTTGTTCCCCAGGCCCAGCCCTCACCTGGTGGCTCACCTTTTACCACCAGGCTCCCCCCACCCCATTCCTGTTGGCTGCACACCATCGCCAGCTCCCTGGCGGCCGGGGCAG